TTAAAAAATTTCATTAAGAGTATTACCAGTACGGCTCAGGTCCATACTCAGAAAAGAATGATCAATCGGGTCCGGGTCCAACAATTTTGGTCATCTGCGTCTTGATCTGGATTCCAGCCCAAAAAAGTTTAATTGGTCATGTCTGGGTTTCGGGAATTCTTGAACCCAATAGGCTCTAACCCTCGCTTGCATGTATTGCTATGCCGTGTAGCGATCACAAAAATTCGTGTATGATCGAACCTATCCGTTGATAAAGCATCAGAGATATGCAGCAGCATCCTCGCTTTGTCCTTGTAAAATAGATAACTCAATGCATAGTGGCTACTTCTATCTGCCACTTTTACACATAGCGGAAGCGGGAGAAAGGACTAGTCTAAACACATCGTTCTCGCCTAGATACCGCGAGTTGAAGGTGATTTGAAGTTAAGTTGACTGGTTAACTTCACTTTTAGCGTTGAAAGCTCAATTCAACTAGGAATCATCGTTAAACTTGTAAAAAGATATTTTCCGTCATCCGATATTTTTGATATATCGCACTTGGATTGAAATGCCTTATGACATCTCCGATTCAGATACGCTTTTTCGGATTTCTCGTTCCGAATAGGTCTCCTATGTGATTTGTACATCCTCCATCGAATTGTATTAACTAGATAAATTTCCAGTTCTTTGATCGATGTACACTGTTCCAGATACTTTTCAAGGTTTTCGATCGATATAGAGTTCATTTGTGATTTATGATTTTTTTCGACCAGAAAAGTCAAAAGTCGCCTCTGAAACCCGAACTCGATCGAAAAATTTGAAAAGCATATTAAAAACTAAGCTCAAGCGAAGAAGTTCAAATTCATGTTTGGCATTGATTGATCAACTTAAATTGCGTAGAAAGCTAAACGTTGATTTTGGGTTGAACTGAAATTAACTTACACGTACCACCTCCATTCTAGTCCACAAGTACCAACACTGCTGCGTACTACTGAATGTTGGTTGCCTTTCTGCTTTTTTTCATCAACAACATCACCAATAAAAACTGTGACTCTTTTGTTCTACTGACCGACAATCTCGATCGAACATCGATACGCGACGGAAGGCCATTCGCGTAAGCATCTATAAGACTATGGTTATGATATAGCTCAGCTTCAGCTATACTTTGTTACTGGCGAGGGAAGGTGCCCAACTGACGGACACTGTTCGACTCCATATTGTGACTAAAAGGTAGGTCTCTACGAGACTAGGAAAACCCTAAAAGGATTTGCGCCCATGGTCTATCTTTGAAGAGTTATGACCGTTTTACGGAATTTTGAGCATGCGACTAGGGATTTCCAAAAAATCGAATTAAAGAATTTCGACCTGAAAATTTGCCCATGGATAGGTCTAACAGTCATTAGAATCGGTTGAAAGTTTCAGCCAAAATGAATGTTCCTTTCTCGAGATATTGAAATGTCAAAAAATAGTCAGTTTTCACAGACAGGTCACAAAAATCGAGTTTACTTGATAATTCAATATCTCGAGAAAAGAACATTCGTTTTGGCTGAAACATTCAACCGATTCTAATGACTGTTAGACCTATTCATGGGCAAATTTTCAGGTCGAAATTCTTTAATTCGATTTTTTGAAAATCCCTAGTCGCATGCTCAAAATTCCGTAAAACGGTCTTAACTCTTCACAGATAGACCATGGGCACGAATCCTTTTAGGGTTTTCTTAGTCTCATAGAGACCTACCTTATAGTCATACTATGGAATCGAACGGCGTCCGTTAGTTGGGGACCTTCCCTCGTGAGTATATGCCCGAAAGTTTTGCAGCGACCAAATTCCAGAGAAGTGTCATTTTACGTATCTCAAGTTCTGCATGTGGATGCCACGTAAATTCAAGACCCACATACGTACGTTAGCGTAAGTGTGACGAACTTTTCATTGGACTTGAGATAAATTAAACCTTTTCTGTAGATTTAAGAGCTCTCTATCAGTGTTGGATTCTAACTAGGTATTTCTATTCAATGTTTTCGATGTTTCTCACAGCCTATTCGTATGAAAAGTAAAAAAGAAGGAAAAGAAGGATTTTAGGAGAAAAGAAGGACGAAGAAGGACGATCTAAAAAAAGAAGGAAAAAAGAAGGAAAGAAGGAGCTCTGCGAGGCCTGAATTTAAATCATTTAGTATTGAATTATTTAATAAATATTCATCAAGTTTATTTAAGAATTTTTCAACAATTAAATGTTTTAAATCATATAAAAAGTTGTTCATAAATTCCTGAATTCATTGTTTCATTTATATTTAAGTTAATATTGAATTTGAACCATTTGATCATGATGATGATAATGATGGTAGTAGAGAAAGAGGTAGAACTAATGTTGATTTTATTATTATTTTGCTCCCTATCTTCATTTGTTCTTAAATTTTACTCCGACACATGACCATCATTACCTTCACATAAACTATTTTTATATATCGGACAAATCTTATTGATTTAAACCACTTGTTATTGATAATTTTGATATTTAACATTGAATTTTTGATTGCATACAACGATTTAAGGAAGTTTTTATTATAAAACTTATGTGATAATCATGATAAGTTAATAAACATGTATAATAGTCAACAATTAAATTCATTCATATTTGATGTTCATTTAATGCTAATGAATGATATATATCGACAAGAATATAAAGAACTTTTTGAATTTTTTTTTTAAATTAATTGATTCAAGATCACAGATTTCGATATAGCATCTTTAGATTGATTTTGAGTTATATTTAAAAATTGATTGATATTAAGTGAAAAAAAATTCTTTTTATAATTGACAAGAATACCATTGAACTTGTGTGAGTAAGGGACATATGAAACATTTAAGAAGTATATTTTGCATATTGTAGACAAGTAAGTTGAAAGAAAAGTAGATTATCTAGACTCGTGGTCATAGAGACTTTTTGGTCAATCAAAACAAATTTTTATTTGTTTGAAGCTCGATATCGGTGCATTTATCGTGATCTGATCTGAATCAAAGTTCATCTACTCTGAGAGGTGAAAGTTTGATTGAAATTCTAGTTCAAAAATATGTTTTACTTTCGTTAACAAAAGATTTGGATCTAGAATAGTAATAGAAGAACGACAATTCAATAGACTTTTGTCTGTTTCCTTCTTCATTGTACGTTTTTGAAGCACTACTATTTGTCCCTACCTTTGAGATTTTACTTACGATATTTCCAATTGGATAATTTGTAGAATTATATTCTTAGTTTCAACAAATAAGAACTCCTTCCTTTTCAATTTTCATCGAGTTTTTTATTAGCAAAAATACTCAGACCTTTTAAGTTAAAATAAACAATCCAAAACTATATAGCTAGATTTATTTGCTCAAATTTTATCGTGACTCCAATAAAAGCAGAATATGGGTTCATCAATTCTAATAAATTAACCGTTGGTTGCAATCACTGATACAAAATAAAGTTCTACACTTGGTGAACTTTTCGAATCAATTTCATACTTTTTGGTATCATGCAATGAATAATTTAGTTTAATGGAAAGTTTTCTGAAATGAAAATACACGACATATACCTCTCAGATATGGAATCACTTTATGTTTTTTTTTGGAATCAAATCGAACTGAATCGCTATATATAGATTTTTAAAAATCTCAAAACAAATCAATTTTAATTCGGTTTTGAACCGATCTCATCTCTGATATTTCCTCATCACCAGATTTTCAAAAAATTCCTATTAAATATAATCTTTATTTTTTATTTAAAAGTTTATCTACATGAATGTAAATATCGAATTACACCACTGTTGTAACTTCAACATCTTTTTTATTGTGCAATTGATCTTTTTGTTATTACTCTTCTGATTAAACTATAGTTTTATGTTTTTATTTTGTATATGGCTTTTCTTATTTCGATTTTTGTTTCAAAGAACTTGGAACCCAATATAATCGAAAGAAAATTGTCATGAATCTTCCTAATAAAAATAAACACATACGAACAATAACCCAAAAAACTTTGACACATCTCTGGAAGACATAAGGTTAACCATTTATGAAAAACATGTTCTAGTCTTGTGAGCGATTTCACATCAGATGTACAATATATAGAAAAATACAATTCAGTTATTGTTGATAATCATACACAGATTGTCTTATTCAATCTATTTAGAAACATACGTCTTTACGATCCACTCATTTTCCAGATCAATGATTTCGAAAAGAAAAATAAAATAGAGAAATTTATTTTTGTTCAAATGAAATTATAACAATGTAATATATTTGTTTCTTTTGTCATTATTTCATTTTCATTTATAATTAATGACTTATTCATCACAATGTCATAGTATAACAATGAACTGTGATCGTCCACGACTACAATGAAAATACTCATCATTGACGTCTACTTTATGTTGAAAACATATATATATCGAATGATTTTCTTCTATGAAATCATTCAATACAATTCAATATTCTATCATCAAAATATTGAATAAGTATTCTAATAATCTTTTTTTTACAGGGGGTGCAAGAAATATTTATTTAAATGAAATTATTATATACATAACGTTATGTCAATGATATATATATATTATTATTATTTATATTTTATATTTCAATCATTTATAAAGTATGTTGCTTATATATTTTTTCTCTTAAGAAGTAGAAGAGAGGGATAGTAAAATTTCCTATCATGAAAAGTTCTATTGGCCACTAGAACTTTTCAACATAGAAATTTTTTGTTTTTTTTCGTAAGGAGGTTTATCTATTTTTGTTTCTTTTTCTATGACAGCCTGTCAGGTGGCTTCGTAATCTGACCCAGGGAGATTCCTTGTGCCTGTTATGGTGAAAGCAGTGTTGTACTCGGGAAGGCCTTTCTGCTCGTAGGTCCCTGTCGTCTTTATGTACGTCATACCTACGATCATGCCCTATCAGCTCGCTCTGCGTGTACCCATTTCAGGCTTACAGGGTCTCTCCCTGGTCGCGCGCGCACGTACGCGAAAATGAGCCGAAAAACAAAAAGAATAACTTACATTTTCTTTCGAATTTTTTCAAGTGTTTCTTTATAGTCCGAAAGATGAGGATGAGTTGAAGGTAATTTTTCTTGTGCAATTTCAATCGTTTGTTGAATATTTTTCATTGCCATATTATATTGTCGAGTAGATAAATATAATTTTGCCATATTGTGATATACAACAGCTAAATCAGGATGATCTTTTGGTAATTTCTTCTGACGTATTTCTAATCCTTTTTGAAAATATGTCAATGCTGTTGTATAATCTTTCATTTCTCGATAAGTTTCACCTAAATTTATATATGTTGTTGCACAATCTAAACGATTACATTGAACATTTTCTTGAATATTTAATGCTTTTCTATGAAATAACAATGCCTTTTCATAATCACCCATTAATCGATGAACATCACCAATGTCACTGTATGTAGTAGCTTTATCTGGATGATTTTCAGGTAAAGCTTTTTGACGTATTGAGAGACACTTTTCGAAATTCTCAAGTGCTCTTGGATAATCTTTCATACTGCGATAAATCTTGCCAAACCATTTGAATGGATAAGCCAAATCAGGATGATTCGCAGGCAGAACTTGTTTTGTGATTTCCAAGTCCCTTTTGAAATATTCAAGTGCTTTCGAGTAATCACCCATGTCGTTATACACTCCACCGATGTTGTTGTAGGAAGTAGCCAAATAAGGATGATTCGGAGGCAGAGCTTTTTCTTGTATTTTATGTGCTTTTTCGTAAAATTCCAGTGCTTTCGAGTAGTCACCCATGGTGTGATACACGAAACCGATGCTGACGTATGAAGTAGCCAAATCAGGGTCATTCGGAAATAAGACCTTTTCTTTTATTTTAATTGTTTTTTCGTAAAATTCAAGTGCTTTCGGGTATTCACCCAAGTAGTTATACGTGAGACCGATGTTGCTGTAGATATTAGCCAATGAAGGATGATCTTCTGGGAGAGTTTTTCGGTAGATTTTGAGAGATGTCTCATAATATGAAGCTGCTTCTTTGTATTGTCCTTGGTCATTTTTCGCCAATCCAAGCATATTATGGATATGTGCTTTATCGCTGTCGTCGGATGCCTGTTCTAGTAATGTGGTATACAATTCCTCGGCCTTGTCGAATTGACCTATTTTGAGCAGCAATTTACCCAATCGATACCACCCGGTGCCATCGATCTCTTCTGCTATACGATCAGCTAATCGACGTAGTTGTTGGTCATCATCTGCTGTAAGTTTAAGGTCCACTTCATAAAGTGAACTTTTCTTGTCAATTTTTCGAACTTCACCAATTCGAAAGACTGTGTGCATTGAGAAGAGAATTTCATCTTCTTGTGCGAAATCACTCAGCTCTCGAATCGAAGCAAATGGAGTTGATGACTCTGTGGGATCGATGGTCATTTGGAAAAGAACACCGACTGTATCTGCTGTATCTAAGGCATCCTTGGCGAATTCGAGAGAAATATTTCGATTTTTACTGGTCGATAAAAAATTATTAAACGAAATAAGTCCATCTTTGCTTTTAGTGATTTTTTCGAAATCTGCCGTCAGTAATCCCTGCCCCCGATAAAGTGGAAATGTCTTACCATGATATTGATCGATTTGCTTGCTATGTAAATCTTCAATTTGTCGATGGACATCACATAGATAAAATCCCATTCGGATAATAATATCACCATCAAGAGTTCTTAATGCTCGATTAAGCATTTTGAACGTAAAGCATTGGCGTGTATACCACCATATCGCCAATGCTGGTTGATAAGTACGCTGAAATTCATCGATAATTTTGAGTTCTGTTTTATTACCTTCATATTGTTCTTGGCAGAAGGTGACCAAATCTTTAATGGCTTGTTGACCATGCTTCATATCAAGGAGAATTTCCTTGAATATTTGTGTATACATGAAGGATGGCTCTAGCTGATTGAGATCTTCGCTAGAACCTCCTTCATTGATGCCAATAATACTAACAGTTACCTGATCTTGATTACATTGCTTGACGGCTATTGCCAGTTTTTCGCAAATACTTGTGATTGACGTATGAACGCCTTTAATTTTGGGCCAATGTTGGGCCCATTCTTGATGGCGTTGTTTGTTGCCACAGAAGATATATATGGCATCTAATTTTGACATGCCATGAATATCTGGTACAAGATGTTGGCCAAGTGCACCAGAGGAGATGACAAATGATGTCTCATCACTATTTTCTTGAAGGGTCTCAATACATTGTTCGACCGTGGTGCATGGGTTCACGTCATTAACAACACTCCGCAATTGCGCGAGTGTGTTTTGGCAATCTTCGTTTTCCATGTTGATATTGCCGTCAACCCAGATCACAAGATAATTTTCAGCCATTTGTCGCCGTCGTTGTCGATTCATTTTGAATGAAAACTCTGTTATTGAATCAATAATAGAATACAATGCACAGTGAATTACTATTTGAATAAAGTTCGTCTTTTCTATATATATTTGGTGTTGACTGTTTTTTTTAATATTTTTCTACGACATTAAATGTGAGTGTGTGTTTTTGTTTTGTTGACACTCAAGACAAACTCTACCTAGTTGCAGTTGATTATATGGTTACCAACAACATCAGTGATTGCATTATTATTCTTTCCAACTTTCGTTTGTTTGTCATTTTTATTATAATACACTTTGTGATGATGTGAACAAAACAACAAGAAAAATAAATTCAGTATTCATTGATGCAACATTTGGTTTAACTCTCAGCGAAACATATTGTGTCTTATACCTGTTTGACGAGCAATAACGGAATTTCATCATTTATAAACTCCTAGAATCTTCAAAAGTACACAGTATGATTGTGTGTGAAACGCTTTGATTGATCTGTTATCTAAATATTAGATACCATTTGTAAAATAGCACTTTCGAGAGTTTCCTAAGTTGAGAACTTATAGAATCTGAATACATCTTCCAGTAAGACCAATGAAAAATGGAGAATAGGTCAATGAGTCTAGAAGAATGAATGCATCATCACTCACAACCTTGCTAAAATAGTTTTTGATTTATACATATTATATTCATTCAACATATGTGTAAAGTAAAAAGAATCTTCGTTCTAACATTCATAAAAAGCTATCCTAATTGCATTTGTTCATGTTTGAGTTTTCGTACAATTTTAACCTGTTGTTATTGTTTTTCTCTTCTTCCGTTCGTGTTTGCTGTATTATGATTTATATAGAGTTTTTTAATGACAATTACATTGATGGTAGTGCGGTTGATCTGCTTGCATGTGTAGGTATACATGATACATAGATTTCATATTTTAATCAACTTAACCTAGTAGTATTTTATAAAAGAAATTATTATCATAATATACGTAGCGTATTGATGTACAAAATTTATCATTATGCCTAAACAAAGAATCCTAAATACCATTTATATATAAATACAACATCTTCTACTAACATAAGTAGAAATTACCACAAAAAATCATTTTCAAATGAGAGATGGTCATATATCTTCTACGAAAAATATCTCCATATACTATTTGAGCTGTTGAAACTCTAAAAGTAATTCTAGACAAGAATGTCATAAAATCAATGCGAAAAACGGAGAACTATTGAAGATTTGTAAGAATGATATTATCTTGACATTGGATACTATTTTGCATAGTGTGAATGAGACTCGATATTTCTATCTTTGAGATAGGTAAAAAATGAAAAAAGAAGAGATAGTTTCAAATGATTATTGTGCCTTTAACAATATATTCATTGAAAAATTGATGACGTTTGCAATTGACGTCTTCAATGCAAGAACGAGATTGCTTGACTTGAAAATCTATGGGTTGTTCTAAATATAGAAAGATTGTTGCATTAATTGCCCACATTTAGTTTCATGATAAAACTACACATACAATGAAGCTGCTGTTCTTTTCTCTAGATTTTTTTATAATGTTGAATGTGAGTATTGTTATTTTTGTTGAGAATAGCGTCATTTATTTTATGGTTATTCTTTTCAACTTTTGTTTGCTTTTCATCTGCATAATGGCTTTAAAAGTGTCTTTGCTTTGGATACTTTGTCTCACAGATTCTTTATTTTTCTTTCATTCTCTTCTCTTGCTAGCAAAAACGAAAAAAAAACAGCAAAGTTTGTCTTAATGTTATAATAAACATTATATCGTCGTCAAATATGCTGCAGATGATAAAATAGTGCTTCCGATGCAGAAATGAATGAAATAGTTCAACAAATAGATTATTACTTCTAATCTTCTGAGAGTAGTTTTTGATTTATACTATATGATTCATTCGAAAAATGTGTAATATTTGTTTCTACAATTCATGAAGAAATAATACGTTAGTTTTGTTTCTTCACATTTGAGATTGTAATTTTTTTTTGAACTAAAATTGCCAATGATATTGAAGACACGAATGTTGTTTCTTTTAATCAAAAGTAAGAAAAAAATATCGTCATCATGACAGTGCTTCTGTAAATGCAGTTTTATTATTGTTGCCATCGTTTTTTTTCTTCTTGCGCTCTCGTCTGTATAGTGAGTGACAATCTGAAAGAAGAATATGTAAACGAAGGATTGCCGAAGAAACGTAATGTTACATTTTTCGTCGTTTTTTTTGTTTCTTTCGATGTGCAGACATCTCATCATGTGAGCCTTTGCTGACTATATTTTCGAGTTTGTGTCAATAAAAACTGTTCAGTACATTATATTAATTCCGTTTCTCTGCATGGTTATTGATTCACAAGTATCGTGTGTCTCGAAAATCTAGAGACTAGTAAGTATGATTAGCATCATACTGAACAAAACTTAAAATTGAAGGAACGTTTAAAAATCAGTTCTATAGAAAAGTGTCGGTGAGAAGAGGGTTTTATGAAAATACCTTACAAAACAGAAGAATCAAACACAGCACGTGGTTGCAGTAGAGAAAAAGAAGGATTATAGTGTCTTATTTACCATTTTGTTGTAGTATAGTCAAACAGTCTCATTGAGTATTAGAGTTTCTTTATTGTGAAAAGATCATGTACATCTATGATGAAAGATGATTCGATTGATATTAATGTTATTTTTGGTTCATCAGTCATAAGATTATTTCAATTTTAGCTGAATCAATATAAGATAAAAGTCATAAAGAGCTTGAGATAAATCTGGTTTGGGGTGTGGGTGTGGGTGTGGGTGGGTGTGGGTGTGGGTGTGGGTGGGTGTGGGGTGGGTGTGGGTGTGGGTGTGGGTGTGGGTGTGGGTGTGGGTGGGTGTGGGTGTGAGATGACACTGAAGTGACCCACATCCACACCTATACCCACACCCACACTCACACTCACACCTACACGCACACACCCACATCGACACACCCACACCCACATCCATCTACAAGAAAAGTTTCGTAAGGTGTAATAGAAGGCCATAGGTTTTCAGAAAGGTTCTTTTCAGAAATTCAGGGGATTTTTGAGATTGTAGCACTTAAAAGCCTGGTGTTTGATTAAAAAAACTAAGGTTTCATTGTTAAAATTCCTTTTTTCTAGTAAAAAAGCTATTTTTGTGGTACTTGGCTGTGAAAAATACCCGTCTGAATGCCAAAAGACTTTTTCAAAAATCCATGGTTTTCTAGGAGATTGCTAGCAAAAACCAGTCCGCATTAGAAGGCCATCTTGAAGGAGCGATGTAAATTTTCATAATAGAAGGCCATGCCTTTTTTGTTCTGCGAGAGGTGGTGTTGCACTAAAAACATCTGTATTTGACGATTCTCGTCACAACTGGCACAGGTAGAAGATCTTTTGATGTTAAGAACCTAATGAATGCATCTAAGAGCAAGCATGGCGCAACGACGTTTAAATCATATCATTATTCCTCATATTCATAAGAAAAAGTACGATAAACTGGACTTGAACAGTATCTTTCCCGACTTTATTTCAGAAAAGCAATAGAAAAGATTTTTTTCGGATCGTGAATACTATTTTCTAGTTCGACTTTATTTATTCATTTTAGATTAGATTTGAACTTTTTATGTATGTGCTGGCCATTAATTAGAAAATTGAACACAGCAGTAAAATTTTTCATTACGTTTTAAGCCTTGACATGAAGGAGAACAGGCATACATTTTCAATAGAGTGGGAATTACTCAAATAGAAATTGGATCGTTTTTTATCTTGCCTCTCATGATCGTCTGAGGTAAAATTTTGAGCATTCCCTAGATTAAAATAGTTCCGCCGCCTATACCCACACTAACTATATTAATTACTAATCTAGTGTATTCTTAACTCTTTGGCAATGAGTCACTTATGAAGTTTCGCTGAATGGCAACTTGAAAAAAAAATAAAAAGAAGAACGACTTTTCATATTCAACTGTTAACTTGTAAGGTGAGATTGAATATTTGTCGAAGGGTATAACTAGAAATTCATTCATATGTTATTTTTTAAATTTAGATAAAAAGTTCTCCATTAAGATAGGGTGTCGATATTGGATATCGGAACATAGATTTCGCGTTCCCCCATAGTAGAACGATTATCAGTTTCCTTTGACTCTGTTGTGTTTTTTCCAGAATGATATAAAAAAATCATAAAAAAATACAACTATCTATGCATAATTTAAAAACAAAAGATATAGGTGTCGTTCTCAGTCAGAATTAAATTTTCATTATAAAATGCCCAAAAGCTCGTAGAATAATTGAACAAAGACAACGAAAACAAACCATTCTCTCCGTTTCTATCAGAAACTAAGTTATTAGATTGTTTTTTTTATAACATGTACGATCACTGTCAAAATATCTCAATGATTAAAAAGAAAAAATAAACAAAACTAACCTTTTAGTCTTTTCTCGCAAAAATGACGAGCAATACACGGAATAACCAACTAAAAAAAAAAGAAAAAAAAAGCGTTTTGCCATCCTGTTGCTTCTGTAAAATCTCCGGCAACTATTGGAAGAAGTAAAATAGAAAAGAACTAAACTAAACTATCTTCCTTCCATTCACTGTTAGGTTTTTTCTCAGAAAAATGACGCGCAATACACGGAATAACCAACTTAAAAAAAGAAACGAAAAGCATTTTTTTTCCATTTTCTTGCTTCTGTAAAATCTCCGGCAACTATCGAAATAAGTAAAATAAAAACGAGGTAAACTAAACTAGCTGTCTCTGTTTCTCTGTGAGAAAAAACAGTTAAAGTATTGATGCAATTAAACGAAGAGTAGCAAAGTAAACTAGATTCCATTTTTCCGATAAAGTTTATGATCATTACGAATATAACTAAATGATGAAAGAGAAAAATCAACTTGAACCAATCGATTCGGATTGCCCTAACGGCGACGCACAACTATAAGAATAAATAATTTAAAACAGCAAACAAAAACATAATCATAGGACGACTGAATTCCACCAATAAAATTGCTAGAAATGTCATGAGAGCTAAATAAA